AAAAATAGTATAATATGTTATGTTAAATATGAAAAAAGAAATAATTTTAAAATTTACTTACAAATGCTTGTTCCGCATCCGGGTTGATAAAATTCTGCCCATGACAGTGCATGTCACCCAAATTGTCAATTAATGATCCTAGCTCACGGGTCTCGGGATTTCCCTAATCAAGTTGAACGTGTTAGAATAATTATTAAGTCAAAGTGAAAAAAACTTAACAAGTATGTAAATTAATATTACCTTATCGAAACAATACTAGGAGTATGACTTTCTACCATGGAAGCTAGACCACTTTTGACTGCCACGGTTTTGTTGATTTGTAACATATTTTTTCTAGTAATGATTATACATGAATTAGTAACATACTTAATAATTAAATAAACCAAGTAATAGAAAATATGAAGACATAATGAAATTGAACCTGGAAAGTAGGGGACGTAAAATGATCACAACAAGGTCCCCACTGCTCTTTTCTCCTCAAGTTTTTAGGAGGATTTTGCCTGACAAAATCTTCATTTTCTGCCCCTCCCATCTTCTGGAAGTGTTTGTGCAAAGTAATCTTCCAGTCCTTGTAACATTTACTGGCTTCACGGTTGACTACATCTCTAATGATGTCGTTGTCGTGGTCGTAGTCGAGGTTAAACCAATCCTGGAATACATTAAACAATCAACAAATAAAACTTATTTATTTTATCCACAATTAAAAATTTTTAGAACAAATTTTGTTTCAAATAGATACCAACATGAGATTTTGAATCCTCTTTTTGTGCTCCTTTGGCACGTCCTTCCAGGCGTTGTAGTGTGGGTCACTTATATCTCTTGTGTGCAAGCCGACAACACTGTCAAAATATTTGGCGTTTTCGCCAATCGCCTTCCACGAACCTGTCTCGTCAAACAAGACAAAAAGCTTCCCATCTTTTTGTACTTTCTCAAACAGACAACTTATCACCATGCTCGGTGTCATCATCAACCCAGTTTCTTTCTGGTATATTAAACTTAGTCTCAATCCCGCGTAAATACATTGAGCAAAATGTCAGGGCCTCGTTCGCAATGTATGCCTCAACAATTCATCCCTCTGGACGAGCATGATTGCGAACATATTTCTTCAACGATCCAAGAAAGCGTTCAAATGGATACATCCACCTAAAATGAACAGGTCCTCCACAAATGACTTCTTCTGGTAGATACATCAACAAATGAACCATTATGTGAAAGAAAGCTGGCGGGAATATTGTTTCTAACTTGCGCAAGATAAGAATTATATCTTCTTAAGCTCTCTCCAAATCAAAAATTCTTAATGTTCTGGAACATATCAACTGAAAGAAATTACTCAGTTTTGTTATTGCATTAACAATTTCCTTTTTCATGAATGGGCGAATCCCAGTTGGTAACAATCATTGTATTATAACATGACAGTCGTGTGATTTTAACCCACTGATCTTTGTGTTCCCATCAGTTATATTTCTTTTAAAATTCGAGTCAAATCCATTGGGAAATCAAATAGATTTTAAAAATTCACATAACTTATGCTTATCAATTCTGGCTAATGTGTAAGTTGCAGGTGGTTTCATCCATTAATCACCATCTCTGTACAAATGTAACTCTTTACGAATCTTCATATTCTACAAATTGATCATCGCCTTGTCTGTATCCTTACTTTTTCCATCGATACTAAGAATAGTACCCAACAAGCTGTCACATACATTTTTTTGATATGCATGACATCTAAGTTGTGACGAATTGATAATGAAGTCCAGTATGGTAGTTCCCAAAAACTACTCTTTTTTGTCCAATTAAGCTCTGCATATTGTCTCTTTCATTTCTTACCGCCATACTTTTCATGCTTACTAGGCAGTCTGGATCCGACATTCTGTAACTGAAATAATATTTCTTCGACAGACTTTCGAGGCGAAGGAGCACGACAATCAACCTTGCCATCAAACTTCCTACTATTTCTCATCCTATGCCTAATAGGAAGCCACCGTTGATGCCCAACAAAACAATTTTTACTCATCAAACTCTTTGATGGTGTCGCATCATTGCATGAAGAACATGCTAAATACTCTTGTCCACTCTAACCAAACAAACTAACACGTGCAGGATAATCATTGATAGTCATTAGTAATGCAGCACGCATATTAAACGATGCATTTGAAGCAGTGTCACGAACAATGATTCTCTCTTCCCACAGCTCTTTAAGTTCATCAACGAGTGGTCGTAAAAATACATTAATATCCTTTCCAAGCGCATTTCGGCCGGGAATCAATAGTATCAACATCTTGTACGGATCCTTAGTGCATAACCAAGGAGGTAAATTGTAAGCAATAAGAACCACCGGCCACATACTATATGAGAAGCTCATGCTTCCGAAAGGATTAAAACCATCAGTAGCTAAACCTAATCGAACATTTCTTGGTTCACGAGCGAATTCAAGATACTTCATATCTAAATCTCTCCACTCCCTACCATCAGCTGGATGATGCATTAAGTCTGGATCCTTCGAACGTCCCCGCATGTGCCACATCATTTCCTTTTCAGTGTGACGCGAGCTATACATACACCTCAATTGATCCTTCAAAGGAAAATACCATAATACTTTCTGAGGTACTTTTTTACCTTTTGTTTTTTTACTCTTCCAACAACTGGTGTTACATACTGGACAAACCTGTAGATCAACATTCTCCTTCCAGAATAACGCACAATCATACTTACAGATATGTATTATTTTGTAGCCCAAACCGAGTTTACCCAATTTTGTCTTCACCTTGTAATACGAATCTGGAAGTTTCATCCCTTTAGGAAATGCGTCTTTCAACAACTTCAAAATAGAGTTCATACACTCATTGGGCCATTTGTACAACACCTTTAAATGCATGAGTTTCACCAAAAAATTCAATGACGAATACTTAGTACACCCTGGATAGATTGCCGATTCGAGCTCAGATAACAACTCTTTAAATTCATCGTGTTGCACATCACCTAACACCTCAGCTTCTACTTCGTCCGGCATATCATGATCAGAGTTATTTCCAACAACATTAGGTATAACTACAACCATCTCGTCAACTGATTCATTTATTGGATTGGTCGCAACATCATCTTCGTCATGGTAATACCACATCGTATATAAAGTATTGAAACCATATTGGTGTATGTGTTCTCTAACTGTTTCTATTGAAAAACACTTATGGTTTAAACACCTCCGACACGAACAACTTGTACAACCGCTTTCATCAACAATGTCTTTGGCAATGTTGATAAACGCAGACAACCCTTCCCAATACTGATCAAACAACCGATTTTTCAGATGTATTCAACTCTTGTCAATTGGCATCTTGACTATAAAAACAATAACACATCTAATCATACTTCATGTTTTCTTGTGACTATATAATCACGTTCATAAAGAAAGTTTAACATTTGATATTTCAACTTTATAAGTTTTATCAAATTTTATGAACAAGTTATTTTTTATTGTTGCACTCATAATGTTTATAATTAATTTTTAATTTTCTTTATATTAATATAATTAATTCTTATTAATTAAATTCTTAAAATTAATAGGTTTTAATAAAATTTCGGCATCATAACAACATATTTTTCTTATTATTCAAAAATTCAAACTTGCAAAAAAAAAAAAAACAGCTTATAAAAGATTTCGGCACACCATAACTGCAAGATGTGCCACCCGGAATAATTATCAAAACTTTTAATTTCAACCTAAATCAAATTATAATCTTAAAATTTCAACAATCTCAATATCAAATTTCAACAATCTCAAAATTCATAATCTAAAATTCAATCTATAATCCAAATTTCAAATTATATAATAATTCTAAAATCTATAAATCAAACTTCAAGATTTATAATCCATAATTATACACAATTCAAATAACAAAAAACTCATACATTTTAAACTAAAAAACACAATAATTATAGAAAAACTTACAAAATTCAAACCTACTGAAACGGAGGCTGAAAATGACAAGATAAACAAGGGCAAAGGGCGGCAGCGGACTTCGACGGCAGCGGACTTTGACGGCGAGATTTTGGAATTTTTTGGATGAAAAAACAAATAAAACTTATAATATTGTTGATTTTGAAGAGAAAACAAGGAGACTTTGAGAGTTTGGGGTCAGAAAACCGGAGAAAACTGGTGAGAGGCCGAGAGAGAGAGAGAGAGAAGCCGATCGGAAAAAATGGAGGAGGAGGCTCTGCTCGTGGGCATATAACAGAGTTTTTTACAACGACAGAAAAGAATATTTGCGACGACTAGTTGTCACAAATATAACTTAACATTATTTGCGACGACACATGTTGTGGAAGAAAGGTTCTGGAATTATTATTTGCGACGACACTTATAATGTCGTTGCAAATAATTTTTGAGGACCCGCCCAATTTCCCCGCCTTTTATTTTACTGAGCAAATACAAAATCACTTATTGCGATGACACACATTAATGTCGTCGCAAAAAAATTTTATCACCCGCCAAAATAATCCTTTTTTGCTCGGGAAAAAAATAAATAAATTAAATTTTATTTACGACGACATGTGTCGTCACAAATAGTTAATTATTTGTAACGACATGTTGTCACAAATAATGTTATTTTGGTGCTAAAAGTTCACGCCAGACAAGATCTGCAGCCATGTAAATATTTGCGATGACGTGTGAATTTTTTAGCGACGATAATATTTTTCAATTTTACAAAAATTTTTGTGACGACATGTCGCTGTAAATATTTTTTTATTTACAACAATAATTATCATCACAAATATTTTCGTCACAAAGAGCCTAAATTGTAGTAGTGTGCCCACTTATGAGCGCTGCAACGCCCATGGTTCGGCTAAAATTAGTCAAAATTGAGGATTTAAGCGCCGCGGAACCCACTCGTTAGTGTCACAGCGCCCGCTTGCAATAGGAAGTCTGAAACCAACTTAAATGTCGTGTTTCTGAGGTCCAATCACTCAATCTTCAACCCTAAATCAATTTTGGGCCCTTAGATGACTTATTCATACCATATTAAGTTCTTGGGAGATTAGAAACACTAGAAAAAGTCAACCTAGCCTCATAATTTTAAATCACCAAACACTCATCAAATAGCTTTTTTCTCTCTTTATTTTTCTTTTCTTTCACCCCAAACACTTTAGATTTCTTAGGAAAAGGAGAATTTAAAGACTCTAGCCTTCCAAACCATAAGAGATCAACGTGTACGCTTTCTAGATCCTTTTTTACGGTATGAATTTGATTGAATTGGTAATTTAAGAAGGATTTTACATGGAAAGTTAAGGTTTTCATAGGAGTTGATGTCGGATGAATAAATTGATGATCTAGGATTCAAAATCGAGGAAAAATCATGCTAATGTTGAGGAAAATTAGGATAATTGTTTTAGGGTTAAAGTGGACTGAAAATGTGAGTTAGGGATTTTGTAACGAATTGATTGTGATTTATTGTTCTATGAAATTATGGCATGAATTCTCCAAAGAGGCAAGTGTGCCGCGTTCCCGAGAACTACATCACCGAGTAATTACCCCACTAGCAATGTTGAGTAAGTCTACAATCAAGGTAAGTACATCTCTTGCCTGTAACATGTTTGTTTAAAACCCTAAAAGATGAGTTTTGTGGTGTATTGGTGTGATAACTATGTTTATTTTGATAATTATTGTTATTCTTTGAGAAAATTATGATGATGAGTTATGAGATAGTTTATTGTTTGTTGATTGATGTGACCGGAGATGATTAATGGCATATACAGGGAGAGAGTCCCACTTTGCACCTGAACGTGAGGAGCTCATGAGCAGGTACTGGGTGAGAGAGGATTGAGAATTATTGTAAGAGATGAGTAATATCCTATCAAATATAAAATGTAAACTAGGAGGCGTGTGCCGAGAGAGAGTCCCACTCGCAACTGAGCCACGACGAGAAGCCCGTATGAAGTTGCCACGTTAAGGATAGGGGTCGCTCCCTTATTCTTAGCGCGGTTGCGCGCAAATTGGTACTGCCTAGGGGCTAAACCAGTATTGAAGATAGTAATGCGAATCTTGAGAATAACATAATGAGAAAGCATAGAACACTTAAAAGATGAGATTATTTGAGTTTAGAGCTGCATATTTTAGGATATATGTTTGATGTGACGTATATTTACAACTAAAACCATTAAGATAAATGTTTTATGAGATTGTGGATGTACTTACTAAGCGTTTCGCTTATGAGATTTTCGCATGTTGCAAATAAAGGTAAGAAACATAGCTTGATGATAGAGAAGGCTTGGCGTGGATGTGCTCGTGGTGGCGGACACGGATTGTCCAAATAGGAAGAGATTTGGCACACTTATTTTAAGTTTGTTTATGTTTCTTTGATTACTTTTAGTAGCGTTATTTTGAGATGTTTTGAGTAATTAGGTTTTCTTCTATGTAGTAATTTATGAGGTTATTTTATGTTAATTTATTTTTAATAATAGACTGCCAGTTTATGTTAGTTTTACTTATGTTCTATTTATATAAGCTATATGAGTTTTAATGAGTATTTTCCGCATAAGAGATGTTTAGTTTTCTGTGGCACTCCCATTAGGGGATGTTACTGTAGGGGCACAAAACTTAAAGTTATTAAGCACTTATGTTAAAGGTTTGCAAAACACTAGCCGTGTTTAGAATTATCCTGTTTTTGTTTTTCACATTTTTTGAGAAATAAAAAATGAAATCGTTTTTAAAACGGCGTTTTGCGCAATAAAGATAAAAAATAGAAATAAAATTGATTTTTTAATTTAGTATAAAATGAGAGAGAAATGAAAAACGACTTTTAGTCATTTTTCATTTTTTATTTTCGTTTTCTCCTCTCTCGAGCAGAGAGAGAGAGAGAAATAGAGATATTAATGAGTTTTTTATACCGAAAACAATATCTTGATAAAATTACCAACGCATTTTTAAAAATGATTTTTGTCTGAGATTAAAAACGTTTTCGTTTTTATTTTCATACAAAAAATAAAATTATTTCGTCTATTATTTTCTACTTAGAGATATTAATGAGTTTTTTATACCGAAAATAATATCTTGATAAAATTACCAACGCATTTTTAAAAATGATTTTTGTCTGAGATTAAAAACGTTTTCATTTTTATTTTCATACAAAAAATAAAATTATTTCGTCTATTATTTTCTACTCTTTCAGTGGGGTCTGTGCCCCAACTGGTCCCTGTATGACTTCGTGCCTGGTGTCTGGTGGGGACTAATGGTGCAAACGAAATAAAAGTTTGGGAATTTGAGTGTCCAAAGTCTTACAATAGGGACTCAAAACACTAAACACAGAAGATTACAAAGTCTGGCAACATGTGACACAAATATCCCTTGTAAATTTCCAACGTGACAATTGGCGATATAGTACGGTCCTTATATTTGGCTTCATTGTAGCTCATTTCTTCAAAAACGATCTAGCCATTTCTTTCCCACTCTTCTCTCACTTCAAAATAGTGTCAATTTCAATGAAAGCAGCAAGTATTTAAGTCAATTTCTTTACAGCTCGGTCTTCTGCATTTAACGTAGAAATGGAATTTATCCAAAAAAAAAAAAAAAAAAAACACTGAAAATGGGGGGAGTTAAGCTTTGATCATCTTTAAAAATCGGGTTATATCCGAGCAGAATCAAATAAAGAGGAATATAGGGAAGCTAGCATCGTGGCACAATCTGAAAGTCTATTAGTATATACCAATGGTCCATATCTACCGATAAATTCAATAGTCTATATTAGCTTTAGATCCCAACAGATGATGATGATCCACTTGAAAAAATAAAAAATAAAAAAAAAATAAAAAGATCCCGAGATGAGATTTGTTGGGGTTTTTACAACATTTCCATATAAGAGTTAGTCAGAAAGTATGTCACGATAATAAAGTTCATAGTTTATATAAATGTGTGTAACTACAATTTTAACATAACGGATGGTTATGCAGTGTTTTTAAAAAAAAAAAACTTTTTGATTACCAAGTTTCAACCGTTTGCTTACGAGGCCCAATACGTTATATATCTGAACGAAAATCAACATCGAATGACAACGTGGCAAGCATCACCGATCCAACGGAATATGATAATTAACAACCCGAACTAGATGCTTCGTAGTATGGAAAATTGTAGTAGATAAGATTTTTTACAAAACTGCTAGTAAAACCAGCACGTTAAAGGCACGTGCTAGCCCTGATACTGTATTACATCTAAATATCTATCAATGAGAAATTTCATGAAATAACACACCCTTAATTAAGGAAATAGCAACAACTGCACAATATAAGGAGTTAAAAATAGCACACGATTACTTTTACAATGGCTAGAGGTTGAAGGTATATTTAATAGTTAATTGTACATAGTTTGATGTATAAAGCACTTATTATAATGCCTTTTTTGCATCAAACATCCATGTTGCAACGCACGTGTACATAGTAGATAGTTGATTTTTTTTTTTTTTTTGGACTTTATCTTAGTTGAAGAATAGATTCTCCAGATGCCCTTTTTGGTAATCCACTGAGCTACTTTTCTACTATGCTTTCCTCTTAATCGTGGCTAGGATTCTATTGCTATTAATAAATAAACTTTTAGATTAATTATAAAAATTCCCCCTAAATGATAACATTTGTTCCCCTTAACAATAAAATGTTAACAAAAAAGTCTCCATCCGTTAAGTTTTTAACTGAAATTAACATTTATTTTGCTATTTTAAAAGCATTTTGATAATTATGTGGTTTAAAATTTAATTTGAATTTAAACTAATTTAAATATTTAAAAAAACGCTTCATAAATTTTTTTTATTCTACTATAAAATATTCACAAAATTTTTAATTTATATTCAATTAATAATGGATGTACTATAATTAAAAGTTTAAATTTAAAATTGTTTTAAATTCAAATTGAATTTTAAACTATAAAATTACTAAAAAAATACCCCAAAATAATAAATTAAATGTCAATATCTATTAAAAAATTTAACAGAGGAGGGTTTTTTATTAAGATTTTATTATTTAAGGAAAACAGCTCTTTCCAAACAACAAATAAATAAAGGAAAACGACACTAACACAATAAACCATCAAACGACTAACATAAACAAACGACCAAAACTTCACAAAACGACCAAAACTTCACAAAACGACAACCAGCCCATTCTCGTCTTTGAACAGAAAAAGGAAAAGGGGAAATCCGCTTCTACGGCAGTCATCCGCGGTGATATTCACGGTGTCGGAAGGCTTGCGAGCGGTATCCTCCGTGATGGCGTCGGATTGAACGGGAAAAATATTTGTACTTGTCCCCAGCCTAGTTGAGTAAAAACCGAAAAATAGAAAGGGTAAAATAGGAAGAAAAAGGTTAACCATGATGAGCAGTAAAAAGGCTTGGAGAATTATTAATATGTAAGAAATAAGTAAATGATAAGATTTTACCCAGTAAACTCCAAATATGTTAAAAACCTGCCTTTTACTTCAACTAATGTTAAGTTTATGTCATTTGGTGTCATTAATAATTATTGAGAATTATTGATATTCACTCCAAATAAGGGACGGAGGAATATGGCCGGGTGCTCAAACTCTCTAATACACACACATATGCATGTGTATATTATATTATATATATATATATATATATAAATGAAATTTACACTAATACCTTAAAGTTTTAAGGAATAACAATTGGAGCAAACTTTGAGGAATATCTTTTAAAGAACTAACCTTCTTATTATTGCCTCCTGATATTTGAATTTTGGATTTATGCCACTTCAATACTGTAGTGACTAAGAAAATCTCAGAATTTTAATAATGTAATTCATGTATTTGAGTCAAGAATTTTCCTGGAAAATCATTATACTATGTACATTTTGTGATTGAAGGATTTATGGAATTAACATCTGCATTCCTAAATTCTGTAGCAGATTTCACGTTAAGTTCACATTTTTCCGATCAAGTAAATTCGATCGATAAATTCTCACCGTACTTTAAAACGGAAGAATTTCCAGTATAGATACAGTTAGAGAATCTTAATTTTAAAAATCTCCCAGCACAGTACAACCTAGCATCCAAAACCCGTATACAGGAGAAAATAACTGTCAGTATGAGTTTGGACAGTTTTAATGAGTAAGTTAAGGGAATGGACAAAAGTACAAGGTGTAGGTTAGTGTGTGTGATTTGATGAGATGTGATGAGAGAGGTGAATAGGACTAATGATTAGTTTTTTTTTCTCCTTTTTCTCTTCACTTGGCCGGCCATCCTTAGGAAGTTATATCCAAAAATTTTGGTTATATGTTGAGTGTGTTAGAAGGCTACAAGTTAAGGTGATGGGATGGTAGTGGTTGAAGGGGAATTAATGGCAATTTTGGCTTCTCCTTTTCTCCTTCCATAACCGGCCAAGATTGGGGGAAATTGAACCAAAATTTGGTTGATTGAGAGAGTTGATGTGGTGTTAAAAAAATAGTTTCCAAGTGCCTATAAAAGGAACCACCATAGGGATAAGCCTCATTTTTTTTCCCTAGCTTTTCTCTCCCCCTCAAAATCCGGCCATACCATACTCCTCCACTCTTTCTCAAATATTTTCTCCTACTCCCCCAATCTTGAGCCACTACAAACCATAGAAGAAGAAGAAGGAGACCAAAGGGTCTAGGAGGAGTCTAGACAAGCATTTTTTCAAAGGGTATAACTCTAAATCCTTTTTTTATGTTTTAGTAAAGTTTGAAATGTAGAAATATTCCTCTTAAATTTCCTTATACTTTCTAGTTCCAAGCCAATAACAAATCTTAGAGGAGTTCAAGGTTTTCAAGGGAGAGAGATAGTTCTTCAAGGGTAAGCTCTCAAACTCTTCTCCATTAATTTCTAGCCAACTTTAAGCTTGGATTTGTGGATGTAAATTTGAAGTTCTTGAGGAGATGAGTTGTAATAAGGGTGTGTGAGTTTTATGTTGATTTTGTGAGTTTTGAGGTTAGCTTGATGTGGTATGTTTATGCTTGATTTAAGTTGCTTATTTTCGGATTAGAGGAAAAAATTTCCGGTGACTTTGACCGCGAAAATGAGGGCCATAGAGTGAGATTTTTCAATGTTTTAAAGCTTGAACTTATATCCCTGGATGTTTTGAACATTTTCGGTTACTATGACTAAACCTAATTTTAACTCCAAAACCAAGTTTGAAGCCATTTTGTAAAAAACGGACATCTGTCCAACACAGTTTCAAAAAAATTGGCAGCTACTAATTCAGCTAAACGGGACCCTTAAAGCCTGAATTTCGATTTTTCACAAAAGTGACAATTTTAGATTTTGACGAGAGGAAGAAATTTCATGAAGAAAAGATTTTCAAAATCCGAACCTAAGATGTACTAAAACACA